GGGGTGGGGGTTGGGGAGGGGGGTGGGCGGTTCTTCGGTAACGGTTCTGTTGTGGGGCTGGTGGAGGGGGCAGGCCGGGGAGGGCCTTCTCCTGAAGTGTAATTCTATTCCAAAAGGGGACTCTGCGAAACATGATCTTGCGAGGGCACTGTGCCTATTGGCCAAATGTGTTCCGCTTACAAGGAAAAGAGACGTGGCCAGCCTGAGCTCTGGGCGTCACCAATTCCAAAGGCCCGTCTCTCAAAGTGAGGGCCAACATTTCCAAGGGGGGGGGGGGTGGCGACTGATTTGGGGGTGCCTCTGAGAATGCAGCTGGTGACACCGAGGGCCAGATCTTCCAAGGTGCCGACTGAGCCTCCAACAGGAGCTGCAGTGCTCCCTGACCCCCTCAGTCATGCCCTCAGTGGGTCATCCAAGACCACCCCAGACCAGTGGCTGTTCTTCAAAGTGCTGGCCTTGTGCACACACCCAAGCAGGAATAAAACACAAGCAGGTCTTGTAAGCCTCCCTACAATGCCCTACCCCTTTCCTTGCAGCTTTGTGTGTGCAAGCTCCCATGCCCAGGGCCCTGTCTTGCTGTTTTACCTGCTTCACCTGTTAGCTAGACATCTCTCGGGATGGTCTAGATGGTCCTGCCATGAGGGCAGGGGACTGGACTCGATGACCTCTCGAGGTCCCTTCCGGTTCTAGTGCTCTAAGATTCTAATGATGTACAAAGACTAGCATCATCTGGGCAAATCATGCAGCTGCCCCAGGACTCTTTCACCAAAGACAAAAGGATCCAGTTCTAGTCTAAATCTGGAGCCCACCATTTTGGAGAGGGTTCTCAGAGTGGGGAAAGAATTCTAAAGCAGCTTGTGCTCCCTTCCTCCATGCTCCTGGTGTGTGCTGGGAAGAGCCGCAGCCATTTCCAGTGGGCTGTGAGCTATGCGTGTGCAGTTATATGCATCGTCTGGGCAGGGAGCGTTCTGGAAAATCCCAAGGAGCTGGTGTTAGCATCTGAAAGCCATCTGGTAATTCTTGTCCTGCTCTGTCCCCTTGCTGTGCCATTCCCCCCAAACTCCTTCAGCCCCCCCCCGCCCGTCCCAGCCGACCATATCCTCCAGGCCTTTACTCATTAGGTTATCGGTAAAATTAGATTAGAAGCATCTCTGGGCAAGGATCTTGTGTAATTTTGTTGTCTGTGAAGTGCCCTATCCATGTAGGGCACCACCTAGAGCCGGACAGATCACACAGAAGATGGACTGTCAACAAGAAACGCTTGGAAGAGACACGAGGCAAAGAGTCTGGTGTTGGATTGTGCATGAGAACTGGTCCCACGCAGGCAACCAAAAGTCACCGATGAGCGTCCATCTTTGGGCTTCCGGTGACTTGGCTTTTCAATAACTGGGAGGTGAGCAGCACTGCCTAGTGGAGTTAGAACCTGGGTTTCTATCTGTGACTTGAGGGGTATGGCTCCACCTGGAGCTGGCGGGGAATGGTTCCCCACTCGAGGAGACAAGCTAAAAATAGCATGACATCTCCTCAAGCTAGCATGCTAAAAATAGCAGAGTAACTGTGGTAGCATGCGGGGTAGGGGTGTGTGTGTCAGGAGGGGCTGGCTACCCAGGGTAAAAAGCCTTCAGGATTCTGTGGGTAAGTATTCGGGTGGTTTGCCTCAAGCACTACCTTTGTTACCACGACTACACCACTATTTCTGGGTGCCAGGTGTCATCAAGCTAATGTGACTGTCTCCTCAGGAGGGCATCACACCCTCCTGCCCTAAGTGGGTCACACTAGGGAATCCCTGTGAGGCTATCTCACTGCCACCTGATTTGTGGGCTACAGTCAAATGTCCTTCCCAATGGCAGGGGCCTCTAAAGAAGTGAGCGGAGAAAACAGCGACGTGTGTTTGTTCCCCGTGTGGTCTGTGGAGTGTGCCTGAGCCAAGCCCTGTGCTGTTGAGGTGAGCGGCCGTACTCCATGGAGGTACGACTGGTCCGTGTGCACGATACCGAATCACTAGCATGGCTCCACCAAAGGCTGCCTGTAACCGAGTGGAGAACTTGTCCCTGTGTAACGCCATGATGAAGACACGGCTGCACAGCTTCCTAGGCCAGAAGACAAGGGGGAGCTGTGCTAATGAGGGGGCAGCAACAGGTAGTTCTACCAGCCAGACTGATAAAGGAGTCTTTATAATGAGTTAAGATGGCACAGTAGCACATATCTGATAGTTATCACCAGGGCGACTATAGATTAGTGGTGGATGGCCTGGATGAGGCCCAGAGGGGTTCTGTGTGGCCCGTGAGACATTTTGTTTACCATCACCCATGTGCAGGGTTGCCACATTCCATTGGTTCCCATCTGTGTCGTTTTTTCCCTACTGGTGTCACTCAAGTGACACGCATGTAAACAAGGGCACATGAAGTGAGGTTCCTGGTCATCGTACACAACAGTGATTGTGAGAGCCGGGTGCTCCCTCTGCATCCAATCACGGAGCTGCCACGGCTCAGTCGGCAGCCCCGGCAAATTCTATGTACGCAAAACTACCCTCTTGGTTACAACAATCGTGTGGTCCACTGTGATGGTCCTGCAGCCCTCTCACTAGCCTAGGTTGCCCGTCACTGATATAGATGCCAGAAGTGGTGCCATTGTCTATACAATGGAGTGTTTAAATATTATCAGCCCGCCACTCTGAAACAAACATAAAATCAAAAAAAGGGCCATACCTTGGAGCAACATAGGTTAATTCTGACCAAACTTGGCAGAAGCTTTCCAAATGAAATTTATAACGTAGCTATGTACTCCAACTAGTACTGTTTTGGAAAGTTTGGGAAATATTTGACCCCTGGTGATATATTTTATGCATTTTCCTGTCTTTTTTTGCCTTCGGGCAAAGCCGAATTTGGTAGTTGCATGACAGTCTGAGTTTGCATGCGCCATGAAATGCATTTAAGTATTTGTCATTATATTTAGACTGGACTGATCTGAGAATAAGGTTTTGTCTGCTGTTTTATGTGGGTTCCTTTCTAATGATTACTGCACTTGCAGTAAACAAAGTTGACAGCGATCACTTTGCGGTGGGCTTCGTGCGTCATGCAATGAATTTCATGAGTGATGTAGGCAGCGAGATGCAGGACAGCAGGTTTGAGGACATCCTTGTGAATGTTAATACAGCATGCTGCAATATGAAATATTGCCAGGTCATGTTCCACTCTCTGGGCCAAGACTGGACCTATGTCATGTAGGATGAAGCAATTGACTGGAAAGCACAGTATAGCGCAGGGCTACTCAACATGCAGCCCATGGCCTGTTTGTTTGCGGCCCGCCGTCTGGTTTGGGTTTACACGGGGCTCAACACGCAGCCCACGAGGGGGAGCCCAAACAAAAATGTCAATATAATGGTCTTCTGTGATATGCATTTCAATAGTTAAATTCCTGGACTGTCATTGCTCATGAAAAGTGCTGTCATCTGGGTGGAAATTGGGTAAATGTTTCATTTTATTAATATCATCAGAGCTGACTTAAATGGGACCTGAGTGCTGGGTAGTCTTGCCTTAATCTTTGTATTCATGCCCTCAGTGTAAAAGAAGCTATTTGCATATATTTGCATATATATTTGCATGTATATGCAACCACACTTAACTTGCGGCCCTCGGCATGTGCTGTGAGTACCATTGTGGCCCCCAGGGATTTCAAAGTTGAGTAGTCCTACTACAAACAAAGTTGACAGCGATCACCTTGAGGTGGGCGTCGTGCGCCATGCAATGAATTTCATGGGTGATATAGGCAGCGTGATGCAGGACAGCGGGTTTGAGGACATCCTTGTGGAAGCCAACATTGATGGGCCATGCTCTAAGAGGGAAAGGATACAACTGTGGCATTAGAACTAACAAACTTATGAAGGACAGCTGAATTGCTTGACACATTTGGCAGTGGGCAATTCCACGAACAATGCTGTTCACCCAGGTGATGAGAAGAGATGCATCTTGGAGCAAGCTCCACCATGCAGTGAAGCATTTGAAGATGTGGAGAAGGCACACAGGGCACGTCTACACTGCAGGGCTAAAGTCACATTAACTACGCAACTTCAGCGTTGTCAATTGCGTAGCTGAAATCGAAATAGCTTAACTCAGCTTTTGGCATCGTCTACACAGCAGAAAGTCGAAGGGAGAACACTCTTCCTTCGACTTCTCTTACTCCTCGCGAAATGAAGGTGACCAGGAGTCAGAGTAAGAAGTCCTCCAGCTCGACATTATTTCGAAATAATGGCCTGCAGTGTAGACATGCACAATGTTATTTAGGAATAAAATAACACTGCTGTGTGGATGTACCCACAGAGAAAAGGGAGTGGAAGCACAGAACGACCTGGCAAACTTCATGAACAGCATCCAATCACTCCATCACTTGTGCTACCCATGGAGAAATCTGTTCATACTTTTCCCAGAACAGAAATATAACAGATTTCTCCCAACTACAGATGGATTATGTAACCCCAGTAAGAGATGATAATAAGTCTATGAAGCTAGAGACATTTGCAGAAATGATTCCTTTGACTTCCAGCATGGTCATGCTAGATGGGATTATGTAAATGTAGCAGAAGCCAGCCATATATCATGCTCTAGTTGATAGGGAGCAATATACTGGATTGCCACTCTCTTCAGGGGTGGATGGCATGACTTGGCCACCAGGCAACCTCTCACCAAGGAGTGTGGGAAGCAGCAGCCTCCTTACACAAAAGATAAGTCTCTGCCCAAATCTTAGCTGACTGCACATTTAAAGGCAGCTGTAACAGCTATGACAAATGTGTGGAATCAGCCTTCAGCCACAGATCTCCACAAAGAAGCTATCAAAGGGCGCATGACTGCCGATGAAATTGCTGTCCAAGATGTTATTAAAAGTTGCGACTGGAAGAATGACAAATCCTTTTAGCATTGAACCTGGAACAAGCCCATGCAACAGACAGCTACTTGTGAATGTTGCAAAGACTCCCGAGAGTCCATCTGAAGCTGCAGAAAGTTTGCACGTGAGAAGAGAGAGGGGCACACAAGAAAAGCAGTTTGTAATCAGTAGGCTGCAAAGAGGCAAGGGAGACCTCTTTGTTCCCATAAAAAGGCATAATATCATATCACAAGGTTCTCCTGGAATCTCCCACTGTGTCGACGGAGGAGGCGTCTGCTCGTGCTGACTTGAGTTCTGGGTTTATTTGTTTTTAGGGCGCTTCTCACATGGGCAGTGAATCCAATCCCGGATTTGCAAATGCGGTTGCATGTCGTGCAGTCATTGCTGGGTGGAGGGTTTGAGTTAGCCTTACGATGTGCCCTCTTCCCCTGCAGAAACCTCACACTCCCCTCCTCATGGCCCAGACAGGGTCATCGCTGTGGTGCCTCCTACTGGCCGGTCTGGGAACTAGCTCAGTTCTTGCACAGGGCACCCTCCTCCAGTGGTGCCTCTCTTCCATCACTTCCCTTCCGAGGCTCACGTTGCTCCCCAGACTACAGTGTCCTCTTCAGGCACAGCCCGTTGGCCAGGTCCCACTCCATTCTCCCCCTTTCTGGGAGAACAGCAATTCTGTGTCCAACCAGCCATCTCAGTGGCAAGGGGGTGCAAAGGGGGAGATGGACATACGAACTCATGCATCAGCTCAGTATCTTCAAGTGTCCCCTATCACTAGCCGACGGGTCACAGCATGGGACACCGTGTTCCTAAAATGATGGTACTTTCACCAGCTCCAGAAGCCACCCTCCCCTGTGCAACAAGGAGATGTGAACACCACAGGGAAGGTGCGGTGTTATGCAAAGCCGTCAGCTGCGACAGTGCCAAGTGTAGCCACAAAGTAGCAAACACATCAGCAAGGTTCTGAGGGGAGAATAAACGGGTTTCAACTGTTTCCAAAGGACCGAGACTATTTTAGGACTAACTATAGCTCAACGGGGGGTTGATTAGGCATTTGGTAGTTGTGTAGTTATATGGAGAGGTTACGTAAGAGTTCATGGTGACTCTTGGTTTGTTAGCACATGATGTATTCATACAGGACACCCTAAAGCTGTTCTACAGAATCATTTCTCTTATATGTGGCTTACGTCGATTGTCATTGGATTCAGTAATGGTAATAAGATAATTACAGTTGTATTGAACTTCTTTTACATTTAACTGCTCCAGCCAAGCAGATAACATCAAAAATATATGTTAGGTAATTAGGAGGTAGGGTCTTATTATTTGCAGAGCTTCATAAAAATATCAGATGGAAAAAGCTTCTCAGAACAGCCCATTCTGCAAAAGAGGACAAATGCTTTGATGTATTGCATGGTACAAACAAACTCAGAATGACATGGGATTATAGGCTTTTGTTTAACTGCAGGCAAAGGAGTTCGGGAATATGCATAAACGGTATCAGCTGGGGTTAAGTATTTCCCAAACTTTCCCAAACAATACTAAAGTGTATTTGGAAGGCTTGTGTCAATTGTGGTCAAAATTAAACCGTTTCCATGATTTATGGTCCCTTCCAGTTCTAGGATCTATGCAGCCACAATGAACATTTTCCATTGGATGGGTTACCCTTTAGTGACCAAAATGGGTCTCGGCTGATAGACTTTAGGCTCTGGGCAGTGGATTTTTGGTTAAGCCTTGTGATGAGTGAGAAATTCCTGGAGAACATGATGGTGTAGTTCTGGTAGGGACAAGTTAGTATATAGCCCCCCAAGGGCCAAACTCTTGTAACTCTCCTGTCATCAGTGAATTGACACCCAGGATAAATTTGGCCTGTGCAGTCAGAGCCCCATCCAAAGCCCATTGGGTGGATGGATGTCTTCCCTTGGACTTTACTGGGGTGCGGAGCAAAGGCTTGACTGGGGTTGTATCTCGTATGAGGGGTCTTGTGACCTGTTCGCAGGGAGCCAATGTGGACGCTCTGCATCCCACAGGGGGCGACCCTCCTGGGTGAATCCAGGGGTGGAAACCTGCCTTTGGAACAGCTTCCACAGCAACATTGCTTTTTCCAGCCATGCAGAACGCAGCGCCTGCTGCTTGTTATTCCTTTGGAAGCTTAGCATGGACCTGGCCTCTATTTCTCCATGGAAGCTAACGTTAAACTCCCCACTCTGTGTGTATGTGGGATGGGGCATTGTAGAGATTGCAAGAGCATCCAGCTAGGCAGGGGAGCCAGGCCAGGCCTCTGGGCAAGTGGGGGAGATACGCTGGCTTGATGCCCCTGGTAGGGGCGGGGCCTCCGGTGGAAGGGGCGGGGCTAAGAGCCACCCAGAGTGTGTCCTGAGGCACTTTGGAGGCTATTTAAAGGGCTTGAGGCTCGGGGCCTCTTTGAATCACTGGGTCCCATTTTGCCCCTGTCGTCAGGCTGCAGCCAACTCTGTCCAGTCCTGATGGTCTCTCCATTGTCAGCGGAGATCTCCCACAGGCTCCTGCCGCATGCAAATAGAGCTCAGAGCCTGGAAATGGGAGCAGGCTTGGAGAGGGCGAGGGTGCACTGCACAGAGGCCTGTCTGGGGCGGTAGGGTCCACATGAGGGCACCTAGCAGCGAGGATGCTGGGTAATATGTCCAACAGCACCTGCCGCTCAGTCTCGAAGGTACGTAGGCACCTTGCCTGAGCCAAGCAGCAGTGAAGGCACAGAACTATCTGCCTTACCCAGAGACGTCCTGGCGGGGGTGGAGTCTCTCTTGATCCAGAAGGAAACCCAGGACAAAACTACTGTCAGGATGCAGGGGATATAGGTCTGAATGGCAAAATAGCCCATCCGCCTGCTCAGGTCAAAGGAAACCGTCATGACCATATAGTCCCCTAGGAGAAGGCCACAAAGAGGCAGGCAGGTTAGCACGAAAGGAGGTGGAGATGGCTAATCCCCCTTTTAATTCCTGGCATTTATCATTCTTACACAGCCCCCCCCCTTCTCCCACAAACCATACTGTCTGAGCCCCTCACACGCTTTAATGTAGCTAAATACTTATGATGTACAACAGCCTGGTGAAGTAAAAAAGCACTAACCCCACTGGGCAGCTGGGGAATGGAAATTCAAAGGGACTTGACCAAGGACATGCACACAGTCTGTAGCAGAGCCATGAGCAAAAACCAGTTTTCCCCGGGTCATGCGCTAGAGCTCGACCCATAGGCCATGCTTGTTCATAAACTCCCTTCATAGAGATCATTGTCTTGCTCCATTGAGCTTGGGGGCCACGTGACCTTTGAATTCACATGGCACGTTTGTGGCTGGTCTCCATATTGGACCATTTAATATGACCAGAGGGCCTGAAGGTGCCAATGACTGCTTTGCAAAGGAGCCGGGCCCTCGAAGCACAACTTCCCATCTCACACCCCTGCCCTGCCCCCCGGACCAGCTGGGTCACTGACCCCCGCGTCCTAGCTCTGCCACTGACGACCTTCTTCCTCTCCTCCAAATCGTGTCCCCTGGGCAGCCTTCCCACCAGCCCGGTCCATGTTGTCCCTCTCCGGAGTGTTGGGCCCAGGGCTTGGCCGGGGATGGCAGCTCTGCTCTCCCGCAGAATGTAAGCAGCTCTGGGCGGGGACGGAGTTTGACTCCCAAAGCCTCGTGCACATTCACAGAGAGCCTCGCCCGGCAAGGCGCCCTGTAACCAGACAGCGCTGCCTCCGACTGCAGTGGATCCGAACGGAACCACATGCTCCCCGCAGCTGTGCCACGCCATTCCTGGTGTCACCCGCAAGCACGCCGCGGCCATGGCACCGCGATGAGCCCTGCTCCCTGAGGGGCCGCTGGGGATGAGAGGACAGAGCCAGCTCTCCCAGGGCGGGGCAGAGAGGGGTTGTGGGGGGGAAGGAGGAAGATGGGACTCTAGGCATTTGAGCAGAGGAGGCAGGGGGCTAAGAACAAAGGAGCTGCTGTGCTAGATCAGACAAAGGCCCATTTAGCCGGTAGCCAGCAGAGCTTTGGGGGGAATCCCCCGACCAGGGCAGTTATGGCGCGATCCACCACGTCACCCCTCCCAGCTTCAGGCAGTGACTCTCCCCTGAGCATGAGGCTGCTAACAGCCACTGAAGGCCCTTTCCTCCAGCAACTAGTCCTGTTCTGGGAACTCCGGTCTCCCTTTGGCCTTTGCACCATCCCTTGGCAAGAGCGCATGGTCCATGCAAGTTAGGGCTCTGTTCCCAGCTGGCCAGCAGCCCCAGATCCACCCTGCGTGCCTGGCAGTGCCGTTGGGGGACACACCCGGCCGCTGAATGGAGCTGATCCACCTGTCCTGTGTGCACGGCCCTGGCTAGGGGCCCCAGGCTCTGTTCTCATCACATGGGCCGGCCCGGCCGTTTGTCCGTCTCCACCTGCCAGCCTCCCTCTTGCGTTAGTTCCATTGCCTGGGTGGCCAGGCTGCTCACTTTGGCCTCTGAGCGTTCTGGCCCAGCGCTGCTGGCATCAGGCTGCTCTTTGTGAGGGTTTAACGCATACGCGCAGGTCCCTGGCCGGCTGCTTTCGCCAGGCACGGCGCTGGGAAAGGCCGTTTGTTTGGACAGGGCCGTTTCCCTTCCCACGGTGCGGCATCAGCTCGCCCGGGGGGGCAGATCTCGCACCTCCAAGGAGGAGCACTGCAGCAGTGCCCTGTTTGGATTGTCCTGCCAGAGTCTTTGGTCCTGCTGATCCTGGAGGAACTGTCTGGGGGGAGACCGAAGGCAACGCTCTCCATACGGCTCAGTCCTGGCCCTCTTCCTGGAGTTTGAAATGCTCCGTTTCCAGTGCCGGACTGACGGGGACGTCGCTCGGGGTGACGAGACAGACTTGGGTTCCTAAGGTCCGAGCCGGAGGGTTTTCTGTCTCGCGCAGATCAACGCCTCTCCTGCAGAGCCCCTTCGCTGGTTTCCTTTGCCCACAAGGCCCTGCCCTCTGTGGAGCCTTCTTTAATCACCTGCTGCCCTCTCCCAGCCCCCCGCCTCAGCCCTCCTACAGCAATCGTGTGCTGCCCACACGGCACCCGCCGGGGTGTCAGTCCCCTCTTCTCCCCTGGCAGGGGCGCTCTCCTGATCATGAGGCCTGCGGCTGCGTAGCCGGGGCCACCTTCTCGCCTTCACTGCAAGCTCCCCTGCGCCCCCTCAGCTGCCCACTCCTCACGAGGCCCATCCCAATGGGGCAGCAGCCGCGTGGCCTGCAGTAGCTAACCCATCCGGGGCAGGGCCCTCACATGGC